GGTCTGTGATAATGACTGGATGATTGGGCGCAAGGAGGGCGGGATTGGTGGAAAAGAGAGCATGGTTGATGGGATGGAGAGTGGGATTGGTGAGTAATCGAGCAGGGTTGATGGGAGCAGTTGGAGAAGAAAGAGGTGAGAAGAAGTGGGCAATGCTGCTGGCTGAGGGATGAGGCCCCCCTTGCAGTTGGTTCCAAGACTGCTCTGCTGGTGGTTGTGTATATTGCTGCCGAAGCTGCTGCTGCTGATACTGCTGTTGCTGTTGCTGCTGTGACTGTTGCTGTTGCAGCCGTGGCTGTAACTGCAGCGTCTGAAGCTGTAGCTGGGGCATTTGCTGTTGCTGCTGCAACTGTTGGGTCTGCAGCTGCTGTTGCACTGCCTGCTGCTGCTGCTGCTGCTGCTGCTGCTTCTGCTGCTGTTGCTGCTGCTGCAAATGTTGGTACGCTTGCATCTGGAGCTGCATGAACGGATCAAAAGGTGCTACTTGGCTGCTCTGCTGCCCTGAAACTAGCTGCTGTTGCTGCTGCTGCAGCAGCTGCTGTATCTGAGGGAGTGTAGGTTGTTCTGCATTGCTGACGTGGCCAGGCAGGGTAGGTGCAGGCTGGTGCATGCTGCTGACGTGGCTGAGCCAATTAGGCGCTCCTGATGGGGAGATCCGGCCAGCCAATGGAGGCACGAGAATGCTTCCCAGAACCAGCAAATGAGCAGGTGCCACGTGGTCCTGAGACACTGTCCCAGCTGCTAGTCCTGATATTGGAACCGTTGCAGCAGATGCTGCTGCTCCTGCTGATACTTCTGCTGCTGCTAATCCTACATCCCCCCCTCTTGTGGTTGCTAGAGGCGCTAATACCTCGGCTGCTGCTGCTGCTGATACCCCGGCGGCTGTTGCTGGTGTTGGTGGTGCTGCTGCTAATGCTGGTGTTGTTGCTGATGTAGCAACAGCAGCAGCAGCCGCTGCCACAGCTGACAATGCTTCTTTAGGAGGATGGTGGCTCTGAAGGCGATACTTCTGTGTGTGTGGAAGAGAGGATAAGAAAAGTGACTTCAAATGACTTATCAGGCAGACATGGTGTTGCCTTGTAAGAACGATACGGAATCAAGCAGTATAAAACGGTGGAGCGGGGATACACATGGGTGAAAATGTCATAGAAAGAAATTACTGTCCTTACCCGTCCCAACCCAACAGGGATCGTTTTTTAGGCGCCTCGGAAACGACCTAAATGTCACAGGAAGAGGTTACTGTCCCCGCCCCAACCCAACAGGGATACCTGAAGGTGACTCTTGATCTCGTCTCCTGTCAAGCCGTCAACTTTCATGAGCTCCTTAATCTGCTTGGGTGTAGCCGCTGTAACGAGGAATGGAAACAGGGGAATAGAAGATGAGCGAGTAAACGAACAACTGACATAAACAAACACAAAAGGTTCATGTCACATATAAGTAGCTATGATGATGCATGTCACATGCATGGTAGTATGAAGGTTCGAACACGCAACATAGCAGCCACCAAGCTTTTCCAGTGCGTCTAAAAACCGCTTGTGAATGTCTGATGACCAGCATCGCTGCTGCTTCCTCCCTACATTCTTGAATCACGTTTGAGAATTCTCAAGTGCGATTCGGGAATACCTGAAGGTTTGCATATGCACCGTAGCAGCCACCAAGCTTTTCCAGTGCGTCTAGAAACCGCTTGTGAATGTCTGATGACCAGCATCGCTGCTGCTTCCTCCCTACATTCTTGAATCACGTTTGAGAATTCTCAAGTGCGATTCGGGAATACCTGAAGGTTTGCATATGCACCGTAGCAGCCACCAAGCTTTTCCAGTGCGTCCAGAAACCGCTTGTGAATGTCTGATGACCAGCATCACTAGAACAGGAGAAGGGCAAAAGGGCGGGGATAGGAGAAGGGCAAAAGGGCGGGGATAGGAGAAGGGCAAAAGGGCGGGGATACCAGGAGGTCCGCATACGCACCGTAGCAGCCACCGAGCCTTTCCAATGCATCCAAAAACCGCTTGTGGATGTCTGGTGACCAGCAGCGCCGCTGCTTTCTGCCTGCTCGCAGCCCGCCTGAGCCTCCAGCTGTGTCACCGTGACGGCTCCCTCTGCAACCCTCCACGCCGCTGCTGCTTCCACCTGCACCGCTTCCCGTGCGCTTGCCACTCCCACTTCTCCTTCCCCCTTGCCTGTCATTCCCACTTCCACTTCCCCCCCGCCTGCCACTATTACCACCTCCATCCTCCTCACCACCATCGCCATCATTACTACTAGCGTCACCACCCTCACTACCACTGTCACCATCATTATCAAAAGCAGCAGCACCACTACCACTGCCGCCACCGCCACCACTGCCGCCGCCGCCACCACTGCCACTATCACTACCATTGTGGCCTTCACTCTTTGCACCGTCCTTACTCCCAGGTAACCGTTCCACACCACTCCGAACTCTCTTCGGGCTCTCTGTCTTGGCCCTCTTGCTGCCTTGCGCCTTGTTTCCCTCCTCCTCCTTCGAACCACGATCAATCTTCATTGCTTTCTCACTTACATTCAACTCCCTCTTGGCCTCACAAGACTTCCCTCTATGAACCTCCCTCCTGCTAGTACGTACAGCTTTGGTGACGCTTTTAGCCGAAGGCTTATGCTCGCATGGACTATTCCTCTCCCTCCCTTTGCTGCTACCTCCACCAGCAGTACCTTTTCCTTCCGAAGCACTATCCCTCCGTTTCTGCTCGCATGGGCTAGACCTCTCCCTCCATCTGCTGCTATCTCCACCAGCAGTACCTTTTCCTTTCGAAACGCTATCCTTTCGTTTATGCTCGCATGGACTATTCCTCTCCCTCCCTCTGCTACTGCCTGAACCTGCTGCTGTTGCACCTGCTGCACCACCTGCTGCTGCTGTTGCACCTGCTGCACCACCTGCTGTTGTTGCACCTGCTGCTGCACCTCCTGCTGCTCCATCTGCTGCTGCTGAACCTGCTGCAACTTTTCCTTCTGAAACTCTCTCTCTCCGTTTCCCTCCTTCTGAGTCCCTTTCTTGTTTCCCCTCCATCAAAACCTCGTGTTGTTTCTCTGTGTGTGTATTCGACCCTGTGCAACCGCTGCCAGCTACTTTGTAAGCTGTGCCGACTCCTGTACCCACGTTTGACTCGGTACCTGATCCTGCACCTGCTGTGGCTGCACCTGCTCCTTTACCTGCTGCATCTGCACCTGCTGCTTCTGTATCTGCTGCTGCTGCACCGGCCGTTGTGACTGCTGCTGTACCTGATCCTCCACCTGCTGCTGCTGTACCTGCCGTTGTGGCTGCTGCTGCACCTGCTTCTGCACCTGCTGCTGCTTCTTCTTTATCTGCTGCTGCTGCACTTGCCGTTGTGGCTGCTGCTGCATCTGCTGCTGCACCTGTTCCTGTTGAACCTGCTCCTTCTATGCCTGTCGCTGCTGCACTTGTTGCTGCACCTGCTGCTGCTGTACCTGCCTCTCCATCTGCTTCTGCTGCTTCAATCTTCCCTCCTCCAAGGATCTCAGTTGCCTCTCCAAACTCGTCATCTCCTCTACCTTGATCACTCCTAGCGTGCCCTTTGGTATAGTCACCCCTGTTTGCATCACTGCCACACGAGGAGGAGAATGTCAGTGTGCGTCGCATGCCACCTGCTATGGCTGCAAGAGGAGTTGCGGCGGCAGGGGAAGGGGGTGCACTAGTGGCAGGATTCACAGCAGCATCTGCAGCAGTGGGGGGGGTGAGTGCACTAGCGGCAGGTTTCACAGCAGCAGCTGGAGCAGTTGGGGAGGCGGGTGCATTTTTTACCGCACTTGTGGCAGCAGCTGAAGTAGTGGCAGCGGCAGCAGGAGCAGTTGCAGGAGCAGGATCAGCAGCAGGAGCAGCAGCAGGAGCAGGGGGTGCAGCATTAGTCATGGCAATGCCAGCAACGGCACCCGCAGCAACAGCCTTAGCAGCAGCAGTGCCTGCTGCCCCCACAATGGCTGCTGCTGCACTCTCCCTCGCTCCAACCTCCCAGAGCCCACCAAGCTCCCGGCCCCACTCCCTCATCTCTGTGAGATGATCCTCACTCATTTCTGCTTCCCCAAATCTCTTCGCTCCGCCCCTGGGATCCATTCTGCCCTTTTTCTCTTCATACTTCCCATCCTCTTTCCTCTGCTCTTTCCCAGGTTCCTTCCCATAGTTTTGCCCATCTTCCTTCTCATGCCACGGATTAGCCCTTTCCACACTCTCCATACCTGCGGCCCTTCCCTCCCTTTCCACCCTCCCCTCCACCTCCCCCATCTCCTCCCCAGCACACTCTCTCATGCCACGACTCCCAAGACCAAGCACCAGCTGTGTCGAAAGCATTGGTGCACACATCTGCTGCATCTCACTGCACTCCTTCCCAACCTTCTCCCATGCTGCCATAAGCATGCCATACTTATCCACACCACCATGCCCATCCACATTCCCATGCCCATCCACATGCCCATGCCCATCCACATACACATGCTCATTTGCACCACCGTTCCGATCCACATCAGCATTCCCATCCCCACTACTCCTCCCAACCCCACCACCATAACAGCCACCTCCCTTCAACCCCTCATCCTCTTCTAAGCGCACTCTCTTTCTTGTCATCAGCTGCTCCTCCTCGCATTGCTCAATGGATCCCGTTCCCTTGAAAGCATTCAATTTCTGAGGTGCCTCAAAAGTCGACTCCTCCTCTTCTCGCACTCTCTTTCTTGTCATCAGCTGCTCCTCCTCGCATTGCTCAATGGATCCCGTTCCCTTGAAAGCATTCAATTTCTGAGGTGCCTCAAAAGTCGACTCCTCCTCTTCTCGCACTCTCTTTCTTGTCATCAGCTGCTCCCCCTCGCATTGCTCAACGGAACCCATCCCCTTGCAAGTATCTAAACCAAGGAGCTGAAGCTGATTCTTTCCCTCTTCAAACTCCTCCCTCACGGTCCTCCTCTTTGTGCCACCCTTCCCCTCGCCCTGCGACTTAGTATCCTCGCCTCCTCTGATCTCT